AAGTTAGTAGGCAGCATTGTGGATTGTGTTGGTGCTACTGTTGTCACAATATCTTGGTCCTGAAACATGACTTCTGATACTCTCATAATAAGCTCATTCAATACTGGAGTTGGGGGATATTTATTTGTTAGTTGGGCCGTTTTTCTCTTTTTTTCTGATAACCAGTTGATATCAGTTGGTTGCTGTGGTTGTTGTGATGATGCTGTGTGATCATCTGTTGTTGAACCCTTCTTCTGCATTGGGACACTATTTTCACTATTGATTTGTTTCATTTCGAACAGAACATTAGTAATGTTTGCCTGAAGTTGCTCGTTCCATAACCTCTGCTTGTTGAGTTGAGAGTTAAATTGAGAATTGATATACTGTTTGATGAATTGAATAACTGAGGTAGTTGATGAATGAATAGATTCATCTATGTATGTTTTTATCAAGGAGTATATGTGCATATCCATCCCAGGTGTTGGGGTAGTTGAGGTTGGTCAGTGAGATATATGTGGTTCAGTGTTGTGGTCACATGTGTTTGACTTCATGTTGCTCATGGTTTGTGTATTGCAAGTTTATTCCAAGTGTATTGCAAGTTTATTCCAATTAAGTTTGAAGTTTTTTTTTTTTATATTATTGTTTTCGCTACTTATTATTTGTTGATTTTTAAATTTATTTGTCAGGAGATTTTTTTTTTTTTTTTTTTTATATATTTATTAATTAAATCTCTTTTTTTTTCCTCTTATCCTATATAAGTTATTATTGTTACTATGTTATTATCAAGAAAATTTTTGTTGCCAGAGACTATTTTTTGAAGGGAAAAGAGTGTTGACGCAATTCTATCTCGTCGGCTCCTTATGTACTGATTGTGGTGGTGGCTTTTATTATTACATATCGTGTATAAATTCATGCGGTTATCGTTCGATTGATTGCTTTCTGATCCCGACCCATGCCCCCTGACCCATGCCTAACTGGGGTTGGGTTGTAGCATGTGGTGTGTAACCTATAGATTGGTGCCGTAATTATTTATTACATATTTAAATTGTAATAATTATAAGTAGTTATAATAAAATTATATAA